AAACAAATCAACGTCAAGAACGCGACATAATCCGAGCATAGAGAAACTCGTTCCACGTGTCGGGCAGCCCAGGCAGGCACCAGTGTATGCAGTCTGCGAAATTTGTGGGGTCCGCCTGCTGCTCGGGCGTTAGCAACTTCCCCTGGCGAATAGTATGAACCGACGTGTGGGCATCCTTTCTATACTCGGACAGTGTCGTGATGTTGAGGAAATCGACCTGAACTCGACTCATCGACTTTGTCACGTTAGCGGCAACCACAAACAACCGCCAGTCGGTTCCCACGTTGACCGGCATTGACTTGTCGAGTATTGGGCTCGTCTCCTTTGCGCACTTGATCCCATTTGGGTTGTCCCAATCCAAGCTCCTAAAATTTGTTTGTTTATGTTAATTCTGAGTATATTCACACATGTTGTTATAGTTAGTTAGTTCCCCTGTTTTCACTAGTTAAATTGAAGAATAAGTAAAAAAAGTCGATAAGAAACGAAATAATTGAATAATCTTAGGATAAGGCTACAATCCCGTTACGGTACCATTCCGTTGGGATTTGTAACCGTTAGATCATCAAGTAACCGTCAATGATAGTTGATCTAACGGTTACAAATCCAACGGAATGGTTCCGTAACGTGATTGTAGCATTTTCCATAATCTTATATATGATAATATCTTGAGAAAGGGAGCTTATTATGGTACTTGATGTGAAGGGGTGACATGCTCATGAAGAAGACTTGTGTGCGATTCGGGTTCACATTTTTGTCGACCCATTTGGACCATGTTCTTAACACTTGTCCATAAGCCACGGGCCTATCGACTTCATCATACTCAGTCGAGCCCTCGTCAAACGAGCCTCTCCTGTTTCATTATCCACCGATCCAAGATATTAAAAATCATCAAAAGATAAGCAAAAATAATTGTGTGAATAAATGTTTTCATAAAAGCAACTCACAGGACTTTCATGGAGAAAGTGTTCATCCACCAAATGTAGGTGTTGAAAACGAGGTAGTCCACGTTCTTCCAGTTCTTGCCGTGCTTTTTGATGGACTTGGGCATGATGATACGGTTCAATATGCTGTGCATGTCCGGGTCGTCTGAGTTGGACTCTACCAAGAAAGGGGCCCAATAAAACTCCACTGTAGCATTGTAGTCCTGCCAAATTCAGGTACACAAAAGTCGAGGATGTTAAAAAAAAAAAAATGTCATTTATTCTGCAGACAATTAGTTAGAAATTCTCAGCTAAGTCTAACCAACATGCTTTAACTTCTTTGGGTAGCTAATTGCTCACATGTCAATAGATTATGTGAATATATGTACTAGATTCTTCTAATCTAAGCAAAACTCATTGCTTAAAAAAGAAAACAGAACAGGCAGTTTGAATTTCCTATTCTATTCGCGCTTAATCTCATCTGATTTCAACATACTTTACACGAATATAACATGCAATTACTTTAAATGATTAATATTGGTCATGTATAACACCACCACCACTTTTATACTCTGTGGCTCGAAGCTTTGTTGAACAAAATAATAGAGTACATCAAATTTCTTATAAACTTGTTTCTTATTTGGTCCCCCCTTCAATGTATTCCCAAATAAGTGTACACAAAAGGCAAGCAAATATAACATTAGCCATAGTTAATGCTTTCGAATTTCGACATCAAAATATATATACATAGATAT